AATGAGAAAAAAGAATACATTCTCCCGTTTGATTTTACCAGTCTTGATTCGACATCAAGTTAAAGAGGCTAAGGAAAACTTTTAAAATGTTTTAAATGTATCAAAATATCCTTCAAATTTAGTCATGTTAAACATATGTGTTATTTAAATTAAATTCATAACCGACTCAAATTGATTCATAAAAAAGATTGTGAGGACACGTGTTGATAGGAAAAGTGAGAAGCCCCCACCCCCTTAGCTTATGATGGGAAATGTTGTCAGCTAAAATGGATGTTGTGATGAGTTACATAATGCCACCGCTGCGACTCACCGACACATGTATTCATAATCTCTCTTCGCGCTACGTTTATTCCTATTTTTAGCGCATTCCGTATAATACAACACATTACTCCTATTTTGGTTTTCTTTCTTTCCTCTTTTTTTTTTTTTTTTGTTTTTATTTTACTCATCTCTTTCAGCTGTTTATGTTAACACTTTATTTCATATTTTGTTTTCCACATAAAAACACATACTACTTCCTTTTCTCTTTTAATTACTAATATATAAACTATAGTACAGTGACTTCTACATTCTTATTTATTTACTATTCACACGAAAAATTAAAAGAGTACGTTATGACTTATGAGATCACGCAAGTACCAATTAAAATATACTCCATTATATTTCTCTTTTCTTAGTATTTTTATCGTAACTTCTTTAACTTAATATTTTTCTTGAACAAACAGATTATTTATCCAAAGTAAGGGTGAATTTCAATTCACATCTAGATATATAAGAACGTACTATAAGAGAGCACTGCAAGGTTCTTTTTTTACCTTTTCTGGACTTTATCATTTTTTGGTGCCAATTTCTGCATTTTGGCCCTAAAAAAGGTATGATTTTCAGAGACTTTTAGATGAGCATCATCATCTCTCTATCTCATTTTCTGCTTTTTCGTTCCTACAACTTTTCTTCAACATTAACCTCATCCCACTAAAGATATATGTCCGTATCTGAAAAATTCCCTTCTCAAAAGTTCGCAAACAAAAAAAGAACCTTTTTTTTTTCTTCATGTTTCTTTAATTATATTTTCTTGCTAAAGCCAAAATCTTGTATTTTATGATCAATTGATCATGATAAAAAGGTGTGGGAAAGTTGGTCTTGAGGATGATGATAAGATTATGCTCATTTGATTAATTAGTCAAGGAATTAAAATAGTTAATAATTATTAGCTTAATAAAAATTTAACACTAAAACAAAAGGAGGAGGAAGGAGATAAATAATTAATTATTCAAAAGTGGAAACATAGTCTTTTATGGAGGGGACACAAGTGGGGTGCATGCATGGAGATGGCTAACTACTTTAAGCTTTATTGTGATTTAGAATCTGGAAAATATTTACCTTAACTAGTAATTACTGGTCTTATTATAGTTAATTAAAACTAATATAATATGTAACAGTACTTGCCTTATTGTCGAAAAGTTAAGTTACTTGCAATTTACTAACCTGCACAAATTAATTCCACAATTAAACTGGATAGATCTAGCAGCTTGTATTCTTCTTTGACTAATCCATCAACTATATATGATTACATATATACAAGATTATTATTTTAAATTAGTGGTACTATTATTTAAACTTAAATAAGCTTGTCCTTAATTGACACCACAATTTGATCGAAACGGTCGCTTTTATCCTCAAGAAGAAATCGACTTCCACTAACTTTTGTTTTATGTAATTTTTCCAACCGTTAATAACCCGTATGTGCGGTGTAAGTATAGAAATAAAGTTTGAAAATGATAGAGTGTACACAATTTTATTTTGTAGAAATTGTTTATCGGATTTTTAAAAAAATCCTCATGCTATATAATTTTGTAGTACTGGAGTTGTTATATGGTGGTCCTATTAATTGCTGATCGTTTTTATCACCTTATCGTAGAGAACTCCTTAGAGGTCAACCATTCATCTCTACTGGTCATATCTTTTTTTTCTGATTCTCTCTCTTGTTCAGTGTATATATGGATTTACAATTTTAAAATAGACATTTTGAGAAATTAAAAAAATGAATTTGCTTTCATCTAAAACAAAGGATATTCTCCCTTTTCTTTTTGTGCATCTGTATGTATGTGTGTGATATAAATAAGACTTGGGAATTTCTTTTGGCAAAATCCCAACAACGATAAAAAAGATAAAAAGAAGTAGGGGTATTTGAGCCAAAAAAAAATTGTTTATAGGATTGGGAAATATTACATTAAACAACTGTTAGTATCGTTGTTTACTTTTTTTTTGCATTGATGGATCGTTATTTAATCTAGTAATTGTATTAGTAATAGTTTTTATTAAAATAACGTGTTATGATTTTAGATAATATATTATCTAGTTCATTATAAAACTGATAATTTTGTGTCAAACTTGTGAGTACTTTAAATATTTTTAGAACTTATGGGTAAAAATTATGTTTCATGAAAAATATTTCCAAAATCTATGGCCAAATACACATTAAAACTTCAATCCAAACTTCACCCAAAATCTAATTTCCCATACATATTTGGAAATATATGACCAAACACGAGCTTAATATATTCACTTAGTTACTTCAACTAAGGTTTATTTCAATTGCACACTTTAACCTCAGTAAATAAAATGTGTATTGATAAAGGTACATATATTGGTTAATTTTTTCCCTTGTTATTAAAAATTGTTGGTATAACTTGTTAGTCACAAATTAAAACTTGAGGGCCTCCTCAATACATGAAGATAGAAATCAATCCAAGAAACCATCGCTAATGGAAAACCAGACACCCATCAACTACAAAAACTAACCTTGTTAACTACAAAACGTAGTTGAAGCTGAAAGAGGTGATCAAGATGGTAACTGGATCGAACCTCAAATCGAAAAGGTTTAGATTTTTTTATACAAGGAACTTAAGAGTGCAATGTTGAGGCTGCATCATGCATCATCATCACCAGGTGTCTTGCATTACCTAAAGGTAAATAAAAGAGACTATACAGTCACTAATTAATGTTAGATTACGCTATTAGACACCTAAAAGTTGGCATAACACAAAAATTAAATTAGAAAAAAATAAATCAGAACCAAGGATGCCACGTCGGATCCATCATGCACAAGTTCCTTGGAGTAAGGGCAGCTTCAACCAACTCCGCTACACCCCTCTGCACAGATTGTGGCGGATCCATGCCATTCTCCTCCTATACAAGTTGAAAGAAGCCAAACACAATAATGTCACAATGCAGGCATTTAGATATTAACTGAAGCTAAACTTATCTATCTAAGCATATGATTTCAGTCACACACAGATATGTCTATATAATAATAGAATACACAGGAGATCGCTAATGCTTGATTTTATTGAAACAGGAAAGTGGTAATACCATTACTTGGTGAGGAACTCAAAAGCTACATAAATAGCACCAAAAAGAAAATAAGTGGATACCTCTTCTGAGATGTATTGAGGAGCTATTCCATTGATCCGCCCAATGACATTCTCAACATTTGTAGCGACTTTTTGTTTGAAGTCCACAGGGTTCAGATTACCTGCCCCTACAACAGGGGCCAGAGGCATCCCAAGAGGTCTTCTCCAAGACCAAGAAAACAACTCATCTCGGAAAAACATTGCCAGATGATACCATAAGAGTTGGTTTTGCTGCACATGGTAATTTATTTTAGTCAACAGCATTAAATTCGATCATTCCATTTGCATCATAAGCAGGATGGAAATCAGTCTGGAAAATTTTTCCGGTGTTTTTAGCAAATAATATCTTGTTTGGAGACCTTCCACCAATTTGGAGCATGAACGACATAAAACTAGAAAGAGCTAACTGGATTGCAAACTGCTTTTTGAAAGCCCACATGTGATTGCCACTCAAGAGTGTTTTGTACATACACTGTGAGAATATGCTTTCTGTGACGAAACTTTTGGCGATCTCATTATATGCTTGAAGACGGAGATCAACAACAGCATCTGGTGAGATCTGTCCAGATATTGCTTGGTTGAGTTGCTCCTTGAAAAATGTGATTGGTAAGTCTGCTTCTCGGTCATTTCTTGCACAATGGTTCTCATAAACCTCCAGGAAAGTGCTGTACATCAAATCATCCTCTACCATGCGAACCTATATCATGAATTCACATGGAGTTATTCAAAAGAAAAAAGCTCAATGTTGAAAAGTTATGATAATCAAACAACACAAAAAACTAGATATTAAGGCAGTTACTGTGAAGAATGCAATTTGCATCACTACAGCAATTATACTATAACTCAATAGCGCATGACTGCCTTATTTCTGGCTAATAGAGAAAAAAGGGGGAAATGTAACACTAGTTTATGAGGTGAAGAGGATTAGTTAATACTTGTGACCACACGGGTATAATAATAGGGGTGTGAATGCAGATGTGCCGCCACCGGGACTCCTTGTGCTTATCAAACATCCGATTCATCACACGGAAAAGCTGTAGGATCCGCTCATCACTTCTGGCATTTGGTGTTAAAGATGTCTGAACAATAAAATGGCATTTGGTGTTAAAGATGTCGAATGTCCATACATCTTCTCCAACACAGACACACACACCTCATAAAGACCCTGCTTACGAGCAATATGAGCAAGCTCATTGACATTCCAAGCCTTGTCAAGATATTCAAGGTGATGCAACTGTGAATTTGTACTACCAAAATCCTTAAAAGCATCAATCACAGCATTATACTTTCTTTTTTTTTTATGACAAGGGAAACCTGCAGCTGTTACCCGTTGGGTGCGCACATGGTAAAACCCCCACTCCTATGCAATGGCTCGCAAACCACATAGGAGAGGTTACCCGCGCTAGCTAAGCCCGATGCGACGTGCTCGACCCAAAAGGCAAACCCTTGCTTTTGCTGGCAAGGGATTTCAAACTTGAGACCTTCAACATGAAAGTCCAAGCCCAAACCACTGGGCCACCCCGAAGGGTATCACAGCATTATACATTTCATTCCACCATTGATGTAAATCATACCAAACAGACGAACTATCCCACTCATTTGGTATCTTTAGCCTCCATGTCTCAAGGATGTCCTTAAGATCAGCATATAGGCTACCATGAACCCCAACAGAAGAATTTCCAGAGATTTTATTTCCATTGGCAATGTCCATGTGACCTTATCAATGTGATGGATTCTCCTGATAAAACTGAGAAGCAACATTATCCATGTGATAGATTCTCTGTTCCCCTCCCGTTTCATTGCCGAAAAAGAGATCTTGTACCACGATGAAGATAGTCATCTAAGTTGTAGCCCGTAGATCTCATTCTTTCCAAGAGACCAAAAGCATGCTGTGCTTTATCTTGAGAACGGAGAAGGGACTGAAGCAATTTGTTGCAAATTTGTGGCATCAAGCGGACACCTCTCTCCAAAGTATATAGGAAGACCTCAACTGCTTGATCCAAGTTTCCTTCCTCACAAAGACTATGAATCAACATTACACAACTTGGGGCTGAAACCATGACATGAAACTCCACAAGTAAGGAAAAAATCTTCAAAGCCTCGTGTGGCTTGCATTCCTGACACATCCCAATCAACCAAATGTTGTAAGGTGATGAATCAAAGTCTACCCTTTTTAGGTCAATCTCAAGCAACCCTCTAACTACTTTTTCCAGATCACCTTTCTCTAAGTGTTTCTCAATTAATCCTATCGCTTCGCCATCTCGAACAGCATGGTTTCTCAAATACTGAAACCAAAGGCTAAACGCAATAGAGATCTGTCCCCTCCTACAGGACCAAGTCATAAGGGACTTGTAGACCTCTGCACTCGGCATGCAGCCATTCTTGCTCATTTGGTCAAAGAGTTTAAAAGATTCATCTACCCTGCCAACCCTTTGGAGACCATCAATAAGTGTCCCATATGTAATTGAATCGGGGAAATGCCCCTTGACTTGAAGCTCTTGAAAAAGCTTTAAAGCACCATTAATTATTCCTGATTTGCATAATCCATTGATCAAAATATTATACGTAACTATATTTGGTACAAATCCACAATCAGCCAACTGCATAAGAAGCTTGTAAGCTTTAAGGATCTTACCTGTTTCACACAATTTCTCAATCATTTTTTGCAGGCTTACACTGTCAAGGACTCTATCAGCACCTTGAGAGAGACGAAGAAACAACGAAGGGTTTTTACCTATCTCCATTTTGTAAAACATTAGATGAGCCTCCGCAAGCTCACCGGCCTTACAAAGACCATCAATGAGAGTATTGAAAGTTACAACAGAAGGAAAACATCCTAGCTTCTCCATCTCATTGAAAATATGCCTAGCCTCCTCCACAAGGCCATTTCTGCACATTCCACAAATAACAATAGAGTAAGTATAGGTGTCTGGGAAGCAATCATTTTCTGATATTTCTAGCTGAAGTGAACGAGCTTGGTCTAAGATGCCCATATCACAAAAGCCCTTGATCAGAGTATTATAACACTGCGTGTCTGGTTGCACACCTCTCCCTGTCATATCTCTTAACAAACTCAATGCCTCTTTCACCCTACCTGCACCGGATAAACCCCGAATCATAGTTGTGTACAATACAACATCAGGAACCACATTCTTTTCGAACAATTTTTTAAAGACAGATTGTGCTTCATCAATTCTCTTGGTTCTAACAAAACCATCAATCAGACATGTATATCCCTTTATATCCATAAGATAACCTTCATTTTCGAAAGACCTAAGAAGTGCATGTGTTTCATCAACCCTACCTAGTTTACAAAATCCATTAAGCAAGGCATTGTAAGTAACAAAATCCGGCCTACATCCTCTGGTCTTCATCACATTAAGCAGCCTATATGCATCATCAGTTCTCTTAGCCTGACATAACCCTGATAAAATAACCGTATAGGTAATCTTACTAGGCAATACACCTCTTTCAGTCATTTCATCAAATAGTGCGAGAGCATCATGAGTCCTGCCACTCTTACACAACCCATCAATCAAAATGCTAAAAGTAGAACTATTGGGCTGCGAATTCAACTTCAACATCACATTATACACGGCTAAAGCTAACAAAATAGCATCTTTTTGAACCGCAATATGAAGAATCATATTGTAGGTATATATATTAGGTTTACAATCAAAATCTTTCATTCTACCAAAAGCCTCAACAGCCTTTTCTGCCTTATTTACCTTCCAATAACCCCAAATCAAAGCTGCAAAAGCGTTAGAAGCTATGGGTATACCGGAAATCTTAAGTTTATCTAGAACATGCCAGTATAAATCGAAACCACCATCTTTTGCAAGCATATCGCCGATTAAATTTTTCGGAACCCAGCTCTGAAATCGCTTTCGTTTTGCAGCCCAGATGAAAAATCGAAAACTCAGTTCAGGATTCTTTCGTTTTTCTTCAAGAATAAAAGATATAATATTAGGACACAGGAAACGAACTAGTTTGTCAAGTGCTGGTTCCAGTGGATCCACTCTTTCGATGATGTTTAGGACCTCGTTGGATACCGCCATTTCCCGGGACGTAGAAAATGATTTCGAATAGACTGAACGAAAGACTGGAGAATGTAAGAGTTTCATGGCTTGAAAAAGAATGTAATGCTGATTTCCGGTATGAGTCTTCAGTGACTGAGTGGGGAATCATCAATGGGACGCCATGAAAAGGAGACTTTGGTTCACTGTTTGTTAAGTTAATCAGAGATTTTGCGATTGCGAGGGTGGACGGCGGTGTCACTGAGGTGGCGGTATGGTAATTAGGATTTTAAGCTCTCTGAGTCAAAATAGCAATTGCGTTCCTCAAGTTTATAAAATTAAACTTAAACCCCTCTCTACTCTCCAACGCTACTATCGATTTTATTCTCTTAGAATTATCTATTTTTGTATTTTATTCTCCAAAAGAGAATTTTTAATATTATATTATTATTATTTTATTTTATTTTTATTTAGTTATTTCATAATATAATTCATTTCTTTTCTTTTTTTTTCCAAATAATCCTGAATTTGCGTGTGACCCCATAAATGTTCTAATAATGTATTGCAAGTTCAAAATAGCATTTTTGTCCTTAAATTTTTTATGCCTAGATAAAAATTATTTAAATCGGAGATTTTTATTTAAATTTTGTGCATTCTTCATAGTAAAAAATAATAATAATTTTAAATTATATCGCTTAAAGTGGTGAAAATTAATAAATAAACTAAAATAATATTAATTCATGATGAAAGTAGTATATATTAAATATATATTTTTAAAATTATATTATATTAAAAAAATTACGAATATTAGAGATTTAATTAATGGTCTTATATGATATATAATATGTTAAATTAAAATAGGGACAAAGGTCTAAAAAATACGTCAACTTTGGTCGAAATTGTTGTTACGATACCAAATTTTATGGAGGACCTTTTACCTCCCTGCACTATTTAATAGTGTATTTTAAAGGTATATATATGTTCACGTGGACACATTACTATCTATAATGATGCAATATTTATGATGTCCACGTGGACACATATATACCTTTAAAATACACTATTAAATAGTGTAGAGGGGTAAAAGGTCATTTCCAATGTTCGGTATCGTAACATTAATTTCGGTCAAAGTTTTGATATATTTCAGACATTTTTCCCTTTAAAATATTATATAATAGAAATAATAATAGTATAATAATCAAACAGTGAAATAAAGAGTATAAATAATATATTTTTCAAATTTGAAAAAATACTATTCACCTTTTTATATTTGGAGAATAGAGAGTGATTGGAGCATGGATTTTCTACTTTACTCTCTAAATATAGAGAATAGAGTGTGTAATAGAGATGGTCTAAAAAACATTCTTCGAGACATTATAGTGTGAAACACAAATGCTCAAAGTCAAGTTATCTTCATTTGAGATTTTTACACTCTAGCTTACTTAGTCAACATTAATAATTATAAGGTGTTCATCAAGAAATTCTTTGATTTTTTTAAAGTTGAATTTCAAAATATATGTTTTGCCATAAGATGAGAAATTGAATTTAGAATTTTTAAGAATTTGAATAATAACAAAGAAAAAGTGTTTTTATTTTTTTCACTTTAAATTACAGACAAAAAGTCAAAAGTAACTTCAATTTGTATTTATGATCAAACACAACTTCAATTTCTAAATATTATTTTTCATATACAAAAGAAAAGTTACTTTTATAAATTTCACAATGAAACATAGTCAAACACTCACTTAAATTTCAGATCTTATCTAATTGATCTATTTTGTACATAATATAATAACAAAATTCAAACGTAAGTAGTGACACATCGCAACATTACTCTCTTCCTAAAATTACACCTTAATCTTTTTCTTCCTTGCATCCCCAAGCTTTATCTTTTTGGTGTTTATTTTGAACCATGTAGATTGGAAGAATAGTACAAAGTTTAAAGCTCTTTCAATTGTGAGATCAATTTTATCATTTGTAGTATTGTTTTGTTGAATCAAACTTTGACCTGGAGTGGGTTGAGCGAAAGTTGATTTTTCTTTAAAATGTTTTGGAATTATCAACAATTTAAAAATATATTCATATAATTTGACTTATATATCAAACATTAGAAAATAAGTTTAGAAAATATTTTTTAAAGAAAAAAATATACATAATAAACACATCCAATGAAAAAAAATTTTCTTTGTACTAAACTTAACACAGTTTCTATTTTAATTTGTTTTGTTTTACTTTTTTTTTTAAAGAAATTATTTCTTTTCTTTTTTGGTAATTATCTAATTTTAGAATTTCACATATTTAAAATCATAATATTAAAGAATACTTTGGTACATATATTTAATTTAAGTTCATAAGTTCAAAAATATTTTCTATTGATTTAACCATATATTAAGTCAAATCATAGAAACAAATTAAATAGGAGAAATTATTAAATAGAAAACTACGGGAGCATATATGCATGACGAAACAAATCCAGGGGCATATATGCACTTTGGCGTAACTAAGGGGTTTGTAGGTGGTTTTGAACAATTCTGGGGTCCAAACAGAATCGGCGTCTTCCCGAACGCGAAGTCTGTCGCACCACTATTCTCACCCGCCGTTGTCACCAGCGAATTCTCTGCAACTTCCACCGAGTAATTTTCATGTTACATCTGTTCTTTGGTGGTAAAGTGAAGAAACTTCAGAATGAATTTCGAACTTGGATATTAATTTGTTATGATAAATGAAGATTTGTCAGATTCAACGAGGCGGCGATAATGGATGAAGCTCTTTCATCTGATAATAGGACGCAGGTTTTCTGAACTAACGATGATCTCTTATATCTGCAATCATCAATTTAGATCTTCTTATGTACTATACATATTTGTTTTTTCGCTAGGCTATTCTCGCTAGAAAGTGATAAAGCTTCAACGAAACTGGTACTAATTGATCTTGAAGACGAAGATGAAAGTTTTTCCTCAATTGTTCTTCTAGATAAGCACATACAAAGGAATGCGCATCGATTTTGCATTTTCTCCAAAACTGTCCTAGTACTTATTTATGAGGATTTAGGAATATGTAGTAATGTAGATAGGATATTGATCTTGCAAACACTTAGCTGAAAACTGTGTATTAACAGCTGTTAGTTGATTCATATTGCTCAATTAGGGCGATTATGTGGTATGAAGTTTTGGACATTCGGTACTTGTATATTCTTTCAGTCTGAAATTTGAAATGAGTGTTACGCTTAGCTAGCTGCTTGCCATCATATAAGGTTCAACAATTTACTTTACTATGAATTTATCTTTTTTATCATCTCTTATGACTTTAGCTTTCAATTGATTGAACTTCTCTTAGAGCATATCAGAAGAAACATCACAATGCAAATAACGGAGAACACATCAAGTTAAGGTAGCTATTGCATGAGTGTAGAATTTCCCTGGCTTCTAGATGCTATCTATCTCAATTCAGTGAGATTGTTTAACTAACCTCTTTCCATATTATAAATGGGGAAAATGCACACATGTATTCCTTCCCACCATATGTACCAACCTCTTTAAGAGCAGCAGAAGGGCCTCCAAACTCCACCTGATGCCCGCCGTCATTTTGCAGAGTTTGTGGTTTCATCTAAATATACATGTATGCTATGTGGGATGCGTTTCTGTGCGATCTGATTCCAAACCATCCACAATGATACCCGCTCCATAATATTTGTTGCTTGATTTGTTAAGAGGTGCAAGCGAATTGAATGGGTGGTCAGTCCTGTCTTTACTCATTGATATCTTGTACTTGAGCATTATTTAGTTGCTTGTCCATGCCCCTTCTGTACATACAATAGTTGATATAGTCGTACCAATCTGACTTAAATTGTAAATTTGTAGATTCCAGCCCTTTTCTCAAGCACCTGTTGTCATATAATGTTTATTTCACATCTTACTGAATCTGATATTGGATTTTTCAGTTCTAACAGACTCTTCAACAAATTAGTTGACAATGAAATGACCTTTTTCTCACCTTGTAATTTCCCATTGTTCTGCCTTCGCCTCAATTTGCAACTGTTTCCACTTGGTATCATACAGAGGGCATCTTTTACAGTATGTAATATTTTCTTTCTTGAGAAACAAACCTCCCACACCCTGTTGTCTCGAGTTTCACGACTTTTGGCCAATTTTCACTGTTTTTAGGTGAGGTGTTTTTAAAATACGCTAGGCATTTTTTCAGCATGCTATTCATAATCAGCTTAAGATGATACTTCGAGGAAGTTTAGGAAAATTTCTTTCACATGGATGTTCTCGTCAGTGTCCTATTGACTAGAAACAGAAACAGAAACTTTGCAATTTGGCGTGGTAAGTTAAAGCTTCTACATTTGTTTGCAGTCATTACAAGATGGATATGCCAGCTTAAGTAATCCAGGCTTATATAGAGACTCTCTTTGCTTTAAGATTACTGCTATCCTCTAATCATGATCTTTCTCATCTTTTTACAGTTGTGTTAATATGCATTTTTCTTGTATTGCATACTCTCTTTGTCCTCTGCATGTTAACAATGTTCGAATATAACCATAGAAATTCGACGGAAAATGAGGGAACATTTTTATGCCTGTTTACAGTAGCACTTGGAGAAGTTTCTTAGGGTTCTCCATTGTTAAGAAGGTAACTTTGTAAGGCTTAATGCACATACATAACTGAATTTTCATTTGTTTAACTATTAATTGTGCAAAAAACAATCTACTTTAGAGCTAAGACATGGGAGTGGCCCATGGCCCAACTGCTATAGTTAATAAACGGCTGCGAGTTCCTGAATCACTTTTCTTACTCTGATCAGATAACCATTGGCTATTGGCTGCTGATGGAAGAAGGCGAAAGGTATGATGAACAACTTTAATACTTTATCTACAGCAATATATGTAGCAACTTAATTTTATAATCTGGCATTGTAGGTGTAGCTTTTTATCTTGCTTTCTATTTATCTCTTCATCTTATAATTGGGAATGCTTTACTTTAGAGTTGAGAAAAAGGTGCAACTCTCAATAAGAATTTCAGCTATTAGTGGATGCTATATAGACTGACCTTTTTTCCACGTGCTATTTCCCCTTAAGAGGTGAACTGCTTATTGTGGATTTGTTCATAACTAGTCTTGCAGCGTGAATAAAAGAAGCTTTTTACTGCATATTGGTGGAGTCTGTCAAAGCAAATTTTCCTTTATTTTGAAGAATAATCATAAAACCTGCAATTTTAAAGTCTATTTTCGGGATAAAAAGAGCACTCATGTTAGCATTAGTTTCGTCATTTTCAGATGTGATAGACTTGTGATGGAATGTATGCCTCCACTATCAGTCAACGGACCAGGTCCCTTGACTCAGCAAGAACAGTACTGAAGTGTAAACGATGAAGAGAAAACAACACAAACAGTTTACGTGGAAACCTCCTTGACATGATTTTCAACTGTTTTCACTAGTTTTCTCAAGCAAAAGTGAAATACAGATTACAACCACAAAATGAGATTATGCTATTAATCTCAAAGTAAGTAATAACCCTATTACTTGCCGAGTCTAAGCAGATACCGCACTAGTCACTAAGCTATCAAACCTAGATAACTTAGACTTCAACTAAACATATACAACACTGCCCACTAAATCAGCTAGCTCCTATCTGACTTAGAATTTGACTAAGCAGATACAACACTACCCACTAAATCAATTAACTCTAACCGATTTAGACATTTACAAACCAAACAAAAGATCTGAATTCTTTATAGATTAGGAACAAATTTACAATGTAAGCACGGAAGTATGAATCCTACGACAACGATGACACATGCAGCTCTCTATCACGTCATGTTGCTCTTTTGGAGAATACTTCACGAAAATGAGTTTTTGCTTGTGTACTTGAGAATTTTCAAGATGTAAAAACTAAGGTTGTGTCTATTGAAATAAACCTTATAAAATGACAGACACAAAACTCAAACTCAACAAAGATGCTTCAACACTCTATCAAGATCCCTTTGTTGAGCATGAGTATTGTTCTTCCTTGAAGATGACCTTTTCTTTAGAGCTTATGAATTTTCAGAAATTCACAACTTTGTTTGCCAAATCTTGAGTTTGTGTTTTGGAGAAGAGACTATATCAAAATGGACACAAACCCTTGGGACAAGATCATTGGTTGAAAGCCTGATGTTATGAAAAGTTGTGCACCAACCACATCAGAGTTGGCAGCTGTCTTTTCGTCCTTTTCTCGTACACAGACTTTTCGAGACCAGGTCCCTTGTTGCGTTCTTTAAAAAGACTTGCTAGCTCTCTCTCTTCTTGAATGAATAATGTTGTTTGTTTATGGTTGTATATATCAGTTACCAACAAGGGTTTTTGATCACTTAAACAAACAACTTCATCCGCCCTTCCTATTGGTGAAGTACGCTACACATCTTACCAACCAACCTGACAAAACAGCTGTAAAGATAGCTTTACAACTGTGCACCACTTTGAATTTGGACGGAAGTACTCTGACAAGGACCGGGTCCCTGCATTTGTGAGGATCATCAAAACACTAGAATATAACATTTTCCCTCTTTTTGATGAAGACACACAAATATTCCTCATGCTGTGTTTATTCATTGATTTCCCTTTTCATCAGTCCCAATACCAGAAGACCTTTTCCTGGATCTGGTCCCTTGTTAGATTCCTAAGTTTGTTAAATCATCAAAACTTAACATCAGCTTCAAAGTAACAACTTGTATTCCTACTTCCTTCCAATCAGATTTCGTGAAGAAAAACTCTGGTATAACTAGGCGATCGAGCTAGCCCAGCTAACACGAAACCATACTATTTCCATTTAATTAGTGATACTTTGATAGGAAGAGGTGATAAACGGAGACAAATTGGGAACTTTAGACTCTAGTTCTGTCCTTCACTTCATTGGTTAGTAAATTTGTTCAATTTTTTCGAGTAAAATGTGAAAGCAAATGGACATTTGGGATTTTACATGTCTCAAAGCCACGATGCTCTGACGTGGGAAAAACAATTCAATTTCTACATGAGGTACATTCCTATAGATTAATCTCTTTTCCTTTTCTACTTCCAGTAAGAATTTCACGTGCTATTTTGTTTTCCCTTAATGGTTGCTCATGAACTTTTTTTTATCTGCACGTTGGTGGAGTTTGCCAAAGCAATATTGCCTTTATAGTTAAATAGTGGCTTTGGTGTTATAGATTTAAATTAAATTTGAACATTATCTAGAAAAAAAGGTGCCTTGTTTGAATGGTTATCATCACTAATATTGCCACTAAAATGTTTCTTCAACTAGGCAATCATAGCTAACACGAAATCGTCCTGTCTCCAATTAATTAATGTCGCCATATTTTGAAAGGAATAAATAAAAAGGGAGGCAGTTTTTTAGTTCACACTCATTTTTTAGAAGTTTTTACTTGCCCTTTCGTGCTATGCAAATTGGAGAAAATGCGACTAGGGACTCTTTCGTATGCTTATTAAACACCATCTCTTAAGCAAAGCCAATCACTTAAGCAAATAGCTGCCCATATTAATTAGATTGACTTCAATTCTTTAATCTCAAGCTAAAAATATCTTTTGATATGAGTTCTTTTTTTAAATTTTTTTATATAGTTCAATTTCTTTCCTAAATGGATTGATCAACCTCTTTCATTAAATTTGAATATTGTTAAGGAACTCGTATTAATCCTATAGTATACATCCTGATATTATTTGAGAGTTAAATTGTCAGGGCTTTAATTTGGTTATGTTGGACTCGAACAGCACAAAACATGTTAATTTTCTTATTTAATTGCTTAGGGTAAGGTCATAATCAAACCAAAAGGAATTATGGTGAATATTCACACACACATAGTTAGATTATAAAATGATTGTGCTAAAAAACACATTGATGCTACATATACATTACAAGGGAAAAACTTGATTACATACGCCAAGAATGATATCTTAGATATTCGATCCTTTTCTAATTGTCATCATGCATCTATTGGCCTTAGTTGACAAATATAAAAATGGTATCTTCTGCCTTCTAGTTGAACCTTGTCCACACTTTCGTATATAAAAATCGAAACATCTTCGATGTCAATTAGCAAAATTAAATTATATTACACCATCTACGTCGGCAGTTGGGGCTTTTTCTACTTGGCTGCTCTTCTTCTTGTTCATATTAATATGATACAAAAATTAGTAATGTCGTAAGTCTACTATAATAATGGGTAAAGTTTTATGACCACACACATGAAATTTAACAGAGTAGTGGTTAAAATAACTTGTGAGCAATGAAACGTTGCCGCCAACTTCCGTACTGTTCTCCAGTTGATATCTGACTGCAAATTAATAATAATAATAATTATTATTATATAACACCATAGTAATTAATGTGACCTGATATTACAGTATTAATGGCTGAGGATGGGCGGTGCCTTGTTACGATATATTTAAGCATTTTGGATGTACGTACGTACCGAAAAAATCATAGTTTTTTGGTTTGTTTATAATATACTCTCCTTCCCATATTAAATGACCATCTTATTAAAATTAATTATTCCATATTAATTGATTACTTACTAAATTGAGATAGAATTAATTAAAAAAATTCTATTTTATACCTACTATTAATATTGCCTTTTGAATATGAACAATTTTCAATACTAGTTATTTCTAGTAAAGTTAATTAATTTATTAATAATTTCTTAATTATAATGTAAAACAGAAAGTGTCCGACTAACAAGGGATAGAGAGAGTGTACCACACAACAAACCACCTTGAGAAGTTAAAGATATGATGTAATGTAAGCATCAAATATAAAGTATGATGAAGCACATGGTGCAACCTCCTCTCAACTTTGGGATTTTATTTTCCGAGTATGGTGGCATGTAAGATATTGTACGTATAAAATATGAATTTTTCTTACGCACAGATAAATGGAGTTATCTTTCCTTTCCCTTAATTTTCGTTATATTTCTTGGGTTTGTCTTATCAGATTACCACTTACAATAGAATTAGGATAAAGATATAGATCAACGACACACAAAAGCAATTATTTACTTTAGTAATGCATTATCTACGGCACATAAGATTTGTATGTTGAAACTTGAGGACTTTATGAAGTGGCATAGCTCTTACTCATGGCCACGAATGTCTGATTAGGCGAAAAAAAAGCAATTCAGCCTTCCACATGGGCTGCACTCTTACATTCATTTTTCATTGGACATAATAGTACAGTTCTTTTAACTTTTTAAACGATATAAGTAGATACTTAATTTTATATAAATTTGAATAAAATAGATATATACGTGGTGTTGTAAGTAATATAAGATGCATATGTCTATTTGTTTTAACTTTATGCAAGTTCAAGTGTCTATTTATGCACACTCAAAATTAAAGGACATAAATACCATGAAATCAAGTTAAATGACACGTTTATAACCTTTTTGGATTGACTTTTAGTTTATTTTGACTTAAAACTAAGTGCTTAAAAACATTCTTTCACATTATTAGAACAAAACAAAAATATTTTGATTTATAAAAACACTTGAAATAAGTCGATCCAAATATGGTGTATTTCTTTCTCTTCTACATTTTTTCTTTCTTATGTGTAGAGGTGTAAATAATTTTTTGAATAATGAAGTTACCCAAAAGATATTGGTATCCCTTTCTCAAATACAGTTTATAATATTGAAAAACTAAATAAAGTACTTGCTACAAAGTGTAAAATATATATATATATATATATATAAAACAACTTATATATTAACATATGTGCATTCAGACTTCAAAAATTTGGCGGGCGTATTGTATTTCTCCTTTTATATAACTGCTTATGGTGAGTCGATTTAGGCCTACTCACGCAGATAACAAAAGATAATCTCAAATTATGCACATAAAAACTCTTGAGGAGATATTCAATCCTTTAATAATTGTCATCAATAGGCATTACTTGACAAATAAAAATGATCCAAGCCTCACGCCACTAAACCTTGTCTACACTTTAATATTATTTATTTTCAAAAACTGCTAATATTATCTCAACCAACCATCTTTAATTAGTACACTTCCTGTTTTCTTTTTCCTATAGTGCTCTCTCTTCATGCAGCTTTTTAATAAAAAAAACAAGAAAACAGAGATTCCCAGGCCACATGGATACCAATTCTTGAAAGTGTCCAAAAAATTGGCCGACTTTGGTCAATTGAGTTCACATGCAAACGTTGGTATATTTTCTGCTTGCCGGCAACAATAACTTTTGATGGATTGTAGGCCAAAAAACTGTCTTCAATTCTTATAGATCAAAAAAAATAACAGCTAGAATGGTGATCATCAAGCTTGTTAAGAATGGTAATGGACCATAGGCTAAAACGCCACTGCTACTAATCAATGAAACGTTACTGCCACCACCAGGGTATTGTCCTCCAGATGATTTCTGACTGCAACATTAATAACATCATTATATATTAATTCATTATCAAATTAATATTTTATTAAGGTGACATAATATAACATGGACGGTGCCTCGATTTGTTAGGGACTTAGTAGGCACTTTGAATATACCTAACATGAAAACCATATAGATATTTTTAAAAATATATAGGACACAACAAACCGACTATAGGAAGAAAAAGATGTAAGGCTTATGTATGGTACAACGCACATGGGACCCAATTAATACCCCACCTTACTCTCAACTTAAGGTTTGCTTCAAATGAAACCAACAATATAATCCTTTTTTGGTGTGACCCATTAAAGGATTATCAAAAGGTAAATGCTCCCATTTCCGACAACAACTTCAATAACATCATCCTCAAAACATTTGCAACCATGTTACTTGTTCAACAAATGTCCACCTAAAAAAGCTCTTTTGCATGCATATTACTATATTTTTTACGTAATCATGCACATCGGATACACTGATTAAAGTGTATCGTAAAAATGTTAATATCAATAGTTAAATGTACTTATATAACTAAACTCTTTTAATTTCTCTCAAACATCCTATGTTTATTGCGTATAAAGGTCTAATTAAAACTCCAAACCTTAACCCATGTTCATATATAGGAGAAAGAGAAATTAGTTGAAAATACTAATAACCCCAAAACATTTTTAAAAACTAACCAAACTTCATGATCGACAAATAATGAAAATTTCTATGTATAAATTTAATCCAAATTCTACGGGCGAATGGACAAGCTTAAGTTAATACAAATTGAGAAAAGAAGATTGGAGAAAGAGAGTGTATATATATATATGTACCTAGTTGAAGGAGCAGGACAAAATGTGATGACATAATCTGCAGAAGCACAAGTGAAGGTGCTGGTTCCATCATCATATGCATAGCTGTATGCGCGTGGGCATGAATTCTTGAAGAATTCCGAGTAATCAGTTGGCTTGCATGTATCAGGCGTAGCATAGGCCCCACTACAACAATATCTTGGATCCCCAAACGCTTCACACGCGCTTTTACACGCCACGCACTCATCGGCACCTTCACCGGTACTCATCAGCTTCAGCTCTGCCGGACATGGCCCATTAAGATCAACAACACACCCAGTTGCAGAACAGTTTCCGGAACCAGTCCCACCTTGTGGGGTTATTAACATGGGCAAGTTATAACCATCCACTAGACTAACGTCGTAGAAGTCGAGCCCATCGGCACCGTTGAGTGTGAACTCCGCTAAAGTCGCCGGCGGAGAAGCTCCGCCGGTGCACTCTAGTGTTCCGGAGCCGCAATCACCTGTTACGCAAGTAAATTTACCTGTAGTGGAATCTTGGGAGCAAAAAGATCGACCCCATAAACGACCTGACCAACCCGCCGGAACAGAAACGGGAATGGCCTGTCCTGGATTCAGCTGAAATCCAGTAGGAGAAATCGGGGATGTTCCAGCACCGGATAATATCCCCGGCCATACTGTATAACTGCACTGGTTTACTAATGTAAATGTTGCTGATGACACCCCTGTTTTTTTCCAAAATTTTTTTTTTAACAAAATGAATACCAAAACTTCAAACTTCATAAAAACAATTATCAACCAGAACCAAAACTTACCTGAAATTAGGAATATGAAACATAAAGCGAGCAGGGGAAGAAGAAAAACTTGAGCTTTCTCCATGGAATTGATGTTGCTCTGTTTTCTGTAAGTTATTTGAAGAGAATGAGAAAGAATAAATTTGGCAATGTGGAGGAATAGCCAGTGAAATGAATCTTAGAAGTATCAATCAGGTTTTCGCAGTCAGATATTTATATGGAAAACTTAGAACCGACGTTAAAGGGAACACAACACCGCCAGAGGGTAAGGTCGGCTCCGCTCAAAATGGGTTGTAATAAATTAAGAGAAGACAGCGCAGAGCTAATTCGTAATTTTGAAGGATTAGTAAAAATACTTGTAGTAATGAGGATGTGTTTAAAGAGCGGGATTTAAATAGAATGTGGTTTAAGGGGAGGGAGGGACTTTTGGGTATGGGGAAGGTCGGGAGTTAAATTCGACGGTCCTATGGGCCTTGGGAAGATAGGTATGGGACCCGGCAAATGACGGTCGGTTCATCACTTGGTGGGACCCATCATTATAAAAAGGTCAAATAGGATCCATGACCTTTGGCAGAAGCAAGTTGAAACCACTTGATTGAACCTCAGCCGCAATGATTCATATTGTTTTTGTTATTCTGCTTCAATTAATTTATTTGATTTGATACAGAATTTAACAAAAATATATGCTATCACTAAAATTGCTATCTTAAATTAAATAATATTTGGAATTTAGAATATATCAAATATTCTTTTTATCCTTCAAATCTTAAATTTGACATTTGAAAAGTTGAAATTTAAAAAAAAAAAAAAAAATGGATTGGAGGGAGTAGACAAGTAGTATTTCTAATATGTTTTCACGCTTTCTGTAATTATGTCCCAAAGATTAAAATCGAAATGGAGAAGAGGTTGATAGTTGATACTCTCTTCAATTTTAAAAAAATGTTACTACAGTATTTCAATTATAGAAGTTTTTTTTTTAAAAAAAAAGGTGTGAGGGTAGGGTGGGGGGGGGGTGATTTTAAAAACATACATACTTATAATTATGGTCATTAAATAGCAAAAATTGAAAAAACAGATTACATAGGCCAAAGATAGAATCAATAATAAAAAAAATATAAAACTAAGATGTTTTCACTGTGGCCAAAAAAATTGAAAAAGGAAACGCAAAGTGGATGCTTATATCGTTTAATTGAAGGCGTTAGCTAGTTGAAAGCTGTAATTGTTTATGAAAAAGTATTGAAGAGCACATGTGATTCTGATTCCTCTTCCTGCAAGTATGGCTTAACTTTTGGGTACGATGCAAAGCAAAAAAAGACTGGCTATTAACACACAATACTTGTCGCACTATTTCCAAAGGGAATAATCACTACAAACCATTCAATCAAAAGATTTACCATTATTCATTAAGCATTTGCAAAACTATATACTGTTACAGTCAATGATTCTATTAAGCTCTATTTGGGATCAAGAAAGTGGACCACAAAAAGTGAAAATAAATCTATTAAACCCAAGTTACATACTAACTTTGCAATAAAAGTGTTCCACATATATAGTCAAACATAAACACACAGACATAAGAGCTTCCACTTCACCTACCAGTTTTTGAATCTAGAGGAAAAGAAACAGAAGGCAGAAAAGCCCTCTGGTGAAGCACCATAGTATCTTGAATCACTCGTAATATAAATCAGTCCAATTATTAGCTCAAATCTATACTTCCTGGGAGAACTTTTTTTTTTTTTTTTTCTATGACAAGGAAAACCCGCAGCCGCTACCCTTTGGGTGCGCATAGGATAAAGCCCTCGCTCCTATGCAATAGCTCGCAAACTACTTCTTGGGAGAACTTGAACAAGAAATGAATTCAAACACTGAATTAGCAAAACACGTCAGCCGTTTAAATGTCTACGATAGTAGACACTTCACCACTAGCCAAAATTTGACCCTGGCCGGGAAGAATTTCAAGGATAGATGCACTAGACAAAACTAAAATGAAGATTCAAGTCAGTTACCTCCTCCACAAGGATGAAAACTTGGTTTAAAAACTTCACATGTAAGGATTACGAAGGAGAAGCAAGCTGAGAGGCATGGGGGAGTTCAGCTGGAACAAGAAGGCTAATTCTCATTTCCTCAAGACAGTGATCAGATAAGCAATCACAATGAAGTAAGAGAAGCCGGATACCACTTTCAATCGGGAATTTCATGGGAGTAGATTTGCAAGTTCTAGATTCAATAATTCGCATTAGACCCGATGATTTCAGCTAGCTATTTATCTTAAGATGAAGTTCCAAAACTTTGTTTGAAGAAAACTGATGGGTTCTAGTATTAGCTAATTTCTAACTTTCACTATTTCACTAGCACTTGAACTGTTCAATAGAGAATCCAAATTGCATCTTCACACAGAAACCATAAAGGCTAGACTAGTGCATCTTCCCATGCAACCATTTATGACCAGAAAATGTCATAAATCATAATCATTCCATGACCAAAGCGACGAAGAGGCAGAACTAAAACAGCCTACAAAAAAGTGCAGTCTATAAAATCCTTCAAGGACAACATGACAGACCGAGCACAACTCTGCCCTCAAGAAGTGATTTGCTTAATTCAAACCCCGAGCCCTAATCCCTTCTTATCTGAAACAAAACTACTGGCTTCATACACCAATAGCCAAAGAGCATGAGGATTCCTTACACTAAAGAACATCATTAAAGTCTACATTTAGTCCCTGAACCATAAACCCTTTCCATATAATTTTAGAAAGATGTGCAAAAGTAAAATAAAGCAAACAGACCTAAATAAGCCAATTGACAAAGAAAGCGAGATTATTAGTATAAACTTTGTCTCGTTATTCACGACTCTGATAATATGACCAGAGAGTTCTGGCACCATGCTACTATAGAATTTGAAAGACCAGAATATTCAACAAAAGGACATTATGGAACCACAAGTCTCTCTCACATGATCAATCAAGCATTATCAGTCTCTCTTACATGATCAATCAAGCATTATCAGTCTCTCTCACATGATCAATAAAGTAATTAAAAAGTCTAAAAAGGGAAAATGGTTCTATTTCAATCAACTATACTCCAATTATTCAATCCCAAGCTAGTTAAGATCAAATGTTATTTTAAAACTAACCTTCGCAGAAATTTATTCCCCAGCTAATTCTGAAAAATTGAACATCATTTGGCACCAACTAATAAACGCACCCGGTGCATGAAATATCCGACATTAAAAGGTCCATCATCCATGAAATGGACACATCCCAAGGAGATGTAATGTGGACAACCTACCTTAATGCAAGCATAAGTGGTTGATTCTAGGGCTCAAACCAGTAACATATATAGGTCACGGAGACAACTCACCACTACTATGCAATGCAAGCATAAGTGATCTCTCACTATCACTAGATCAAATCGTTTCTTCCATATCTCTCACGTCACCAATAAGTCATTCTAAGTGTTGTTTCAATATATTATTCCATCCTTCCATTTCAGTCGTTTTTACACGTTTATTTTTTCAGCATTCCAACTTTTTTCAGAAGTAAGATGGCAATAACATTAACAGGTGATAATTTTCAGTGTAAAAGGGATTGGAACTACAAGGGATGTGGAGAGAGATTTGGACTCTATGACATTTTTTTTTTCGAGATAGATCGAATGGAATAACAAATTTTAGAAAGAATCCTAACTTCAATAAGAACAAAACTGTTAGCATAGGACACTTTGCTAGATTACTTGTTTGAAGACAACTCTTTTCATAAACGACAACTCTTATTATAAAAGGAAAAGATCACGAGCACCCTTTAGCTAAAGCAACACGCTAGAAGCCAATGAAAATGCTGGTTTGTAAATCCTAACTTCAACAAGAACAGAACAGTTAGCTTAGGATACTTTGCTAGATTACTTGTTTGAAGACAACTCTTCTAATATAGGACAAACTCTTTTTTATAAAAAGAAAAGATCACGAGCACTATTTTCCTAAAGCAACACATTAGAAGCCAATGAAAATGCTGATTTGGAAATTAAACCAGTGTTCAAATTTGGAATGTGGTGGGATATGTCTAATAGGCAATTAAAAGAATTTCCAATTGGCATCTAAATAGAAAACACTAGTTTGAATATTTGAACACTAGAAGGGGTAAGGCTAGGTACACACCACCCTCCCAGACCTATTGGCTATGTTGTTGTTGTTGTTGTTGTTGTTGTTGTTGTTGTTAGTTTGAACAACAAAGCAGCATATTCTTAACAAACAAACAAGACAAATACAAGTATAAACACAAGCAGTGATGAGAAAGATTCCACATAGAGGGCAATTACGTAGGACAAGCTTAGTATCAGGCTCACAACTGAAGTCACCTAGCTTAATCAGCATCATGTGAATTCTCATGTTTTCCCCATGAAGCACATATATATATGTGTGTGTGTGTGTGTATTGTATATGGTATCATAATTATTTTAAGCATAAAAGATTTGCTTAAAGTGCAAGAATTGAACCTTCAGCTTTTTTATATACTTGTATATAAACCATCAACAAAAACTTTGCATCCCAAGAACATGAATTCAAACAGCTCTGTAGAGCTACTCCGAAAGCACAACCGGTCATATAGCTAATCAAAGAACAACTGGAAAAACATGTCACTGCTAAGAAAATGAGTACTAAGAGGATACAGAGAAAAAAGAGAAAGATCATGTACATGATCAGTTCACGGACTGGCTAGTGCATTCTCTAGCAAAGTGACCCGCCTCTCCACAGTTGTAACACTTGCTTCCTCCATTACCACCACCAGATCTTCCAAAATTACTACCACCACCACCTCCCCCACCGGGACAGTCTCTTGCCAAGTGTCCTTGTGCACCGCATGTATAACAAGCACCACCACCTCCACCGCCACGGCCGCCAACACGACCAGCACTCGGGCAATCTCGAGCCATGTGGCCATACCCACCGCAAGTGTAACAGACACCACCACTTGCTCCTCCACCACCACCGCCACTACTACCGTCACAATCCCTAGCTAAATGTCCAGCCGCACCACAGTTATAACACCCGCCTCTGCCACCACCTCCACCTCCACCTCCACTGTTGCGATCACAGTCCCTAGCCAAATGTCCCGTCCTTCCACAGTTATAACACTCACCGGCGCTACGATATCCACCATCATTGCCGTTCCTCCGATAACCACCATCATCACCACCATAACCGTAACCCCCACCCCCGCGACTGTTACTGTTTCCCCTGCCATTACCGCCACTATCGAGAGGAGCACCATCAGGCCCAGTGACATCAATAGCCTGATACTTATCTCCCTTCACAGTCATGGTGAACTCCACTTTCTGGCCTTCGTAGAGAGAACGGTAGCCATCAGATTTGATCTCTGATTGATGAACGAACAGATCTTCGGATCCATCATCAGGTTTGATGAAACCGTAACCCTTTGGGTTATTGAACTTGGAAACTGTCCCTGTCATTCTCGACGCCTCCACCGCCATTCTTAACCGATCTGTTGATCAGAACTCCGCAAAACCCTTGAGAATGTTCTAATTCTATGACAGATTTTTTTATAAAGTGAAGCCTAGGGGAAACCCTAAATAGAGTTTCTGCGTCTAAAACCGTTTTAAAAGGCGGCGTTAGCGATTTTCGGTTAGGTTTGGATCTAAGATCGTTGTAAATTTATCTAATGTTATTTATTTATTTATTGTTTCGTGATAGGAATAGTTGGAAAAAAAAAAATCATAATGTTTCAAAAATTGAAATTGAGAGCATGGTAAGAGATTACAAATTAGAAAATCAAATCTATGAAAGTTTTTGTAGTCAATCAATTGAATCACTATGATTTTTCTGCGTGCTAAAAAGTTAAAAAGAGCCACCAACTTTTGAAAATTTATATTCTAGAATTTGTTTATTTTGTAAATTAGGACTAAAAAGATAATCAAATATCATTTTGGTCTATAGATGTTGATAAATACTGCTGTAAAAAAGATGGCCAATGTTTCAAATAATGGCAATTTGCTGTTGAATAAAAGAAAAACCACATTACAAAGATTTTGGTGTATTATTTTTTATCTTTTACGTGTAAAAACAAATATCTTTTATAAGAAACGTAAATAATAAATTCATAAGGAACTAACTATAAAACTAATTGACCCATACCTCAACAAGGATGTTGTAGTTAAGAAAATAAAAAAACAAGAGATTGTGATTGGGTTGATTCAGCTATATGTTATTGAGACCCAGACCCTCAAAATTCAACTTTTTAGAGGGACAAATGCGAATATACTGATTCATTAAAAGATACAGATGAAAGATTTAAAAAGGGAAGTCCCAAAAAATGAAATTAAAATTTCAAAGGAAAAATTTACCTATCTACATGGATGCAGGGGGAGAGAAGCATAAAGTCGGCTCATATTTGTACAAAGAAAAGTAAAAATATTTAGTAGACTTCAACATTCCATTGCTCTGCCTTCTTCAATTGCTTCTTGTAGTCCGCCCAGACAATACCTTCAAAAGTACAGTAAATGTAAGCCTTCGATCGATATCTATACGACAGTAACAACAACTATGCCTTAATCCCAAGCAAGTTGGGGTTGGTTATATTAGTTCCAAACTGATTAATGCATATTTATAGTGAATGAGTAAAGTATGAGGATTTTATCAATGTGTGGAAAAAATGATGACATAGTTTTGACATATGTTACCATCTCTTTCTGCAAGTGCAGACATAATTTCATCAATTCCCTGCTCCATGCCCTTGAGTCCACACATGTAGATGAAGGTGTTGTCTTTTTGGAGCAAAGTCCATAGTTCTTCAGCATATTGAGCCATTCTGGTTTGAATGTACATCTTTTCACCCTTTTCGTTCGTTTGCTCTCTGCTCACAGCAAAGTCCAATCTGAAGTTTTCTGGGGCCTTCTCCTTCATTTTCTCGAATTCCTACAACATAGCAACATGAAAAGTCCCAACTTCAAAATATGATCAACTTTGCCAGAAATACTTTGATTCAGCTGAGTAAACTGTGCAGATAAAAAAGTATTGATATCCTAGAAAATCACCTCCTTGTAAAGTAGTGAGCTGCTGGTGGGAACACCCAAGAAAAGCCATGCGGTACCGTTGAACTACATAACACCAAATCTATGTCATTCAGCAGATTAATGATCGGAGGTAAGAAAATGCTACATATGACTACAATGAAATTCTGCCGAACCTTTGGATAAACTACAACGACAACAACATACCCAATGTAATCCCACAACCTTTGAATAAACCAATGTTGGATATTTTTAAATGTTTAAGAACCATTCATCCTCGACTCAGACAACACTTAATAGTTCACCATTTCGTCCATCTAAAACTCTCACTTTTATACCTAACTTTATCTCATTTGATACACTTTAAAGACTAATCAGACTGGTCAATTGTTTCTGGATCTTTAGTTCGAACAAGCAAAAGCTTTTGCCTATAATCAAGCAGTGTTCTTTTAGTTCTTTTCAATTCACTAGCATGTCCATGAAGCCAATCAAATTAGAATGAAGAGAAACTATCAAACAAATGTTTATTTTCTGTACCTTGTAGTCCTCGTGTTTCTCAAAGAACATTTTCCACAGGAATGAACGGAAAGGAGCAATTCCAGTTCCAGTGGCAAGCTGAGACAGAAATTCAAATTAGAAAAAATGCATAGTCAAATTGAAAGGCAGTAGATATATCTTAGATGACAATAATGTAGCTACAAATAAAATTCACCATTATAACGGTGGCATTTGGATCTTTAGGCATGAGCATTTCTTTGCCTACAGGTCCAGTAATCTTGACCTCTGCTCCAGGCTTCAAGTCACCTGCAATATGTAACATTTGAAGTTACATAAGGATCAAGTACATGCCAAGCATCATCTAGTACTCCTACTATATATAACGAACAGTCAAACTAAAATAAAACGAATAAACCTTAACATCGTCTATGAAATAAGGGAGTCGTGGATTCTTACATAAGAAGTTTGAGCAAACTCCTTTAACTTCTTCCCCTTTGTCATTGGTGTACACAAGCCTCTTGACACACAGGGAAACCTAAATAAAACCTCAAGTCAGATACTTTTGCTCACCGTAAAACTTGCAGGCCCCTAAACTATGAGTAATATTTGGACGGCTGGCTTATTTTAGGTGCTTTTAAGCAGTTTTGAAGTGTTTGGATAAAGTTAAAAAATGTTGATGAGCTCTTATTTTTAAGTCAAAATGACAAAAATAAGCCAAAAATTATAAGTTAGAAATACTAACTTCTGACTTTTAGCTTATCATAAGCCAAAAGCCAATCCAAACAAGCTCTAATATTCTAATGTATCACCCTATAGTATATAATCTCAAATTTCTACAGTTACATTTGTTGGCAGACTTGCAGACCCCAAAACAACTATGAGTATTTTGGAATTTGTATAATGTATCACCGATAGTTGTTGGTAGAAATGATAATCGCGCCAATATTAATCACAGTCAAAGCATATGATTATCAATCTGTTAAGAGTTAACTGTAATATTTGAAAATTTTCGAATATATAGGAACTCAAAGCTTACGGTTTTGGAGTCACCGAAGTCACCAAGGGCACTGCTAGCAATTGAGTACAATCTAAGCTTGTGAGGCTTCCCATTGGCATCAACACCATCAGCAATCACACCAATGGATTGTCCTTCTCTATATGGGACCTCTCCTGATCAACCCATTAAAATTAATTCAGCTAAAGTAAAACTCACCAATTTATACAACAATAACATACCCAATGTAATCCCACAAGTGTATGCAGCCTTACCCCTACCTAGGTGAAGGTAGAGAGGTTGTTTCTGATGTGCCCTCGCCCGAAGCAATTTACACAACAAAACAAAATCTAATGATTTGCTAGATTAAGAGGATACCCTCAGTGCTAAAAACCATGTGCCAAGTTTCACCAGGTGCATCATCACCAGTGATCTTAGTGTTTAGTAGACATCTACCAACATAAGGTTCCTTTGGCCTGAATTTATTCACAATCACACCTTCATCCTGTTTCTTTGAAATCTTCTCAACTTTAGCAGGAGCCTCAGTGGTCACTTGGGCTCTGATAGAAACTAATCTACTACCACCAGACACATTTCTGTAGTACAAAGGCACCTGTCATCACAAATTAATCCATAGTCAGTATTAAAGTATATCACAATTTGCAAAAAAGTAAATTGAGTAATTTACCTTGTTGAAGTTGATTTTGTCAGTGGAGATGATGGAGGCTCTAGAGGAAAAAGAGGTGGACTTGGATGAAGGAAGAGAAACTGCAGCACTTACTGCAGTAGCCATGTTTATGAATTATGAATACAGAGAATTAAGAGGGGATATTGGTGAAGAAGGAAAAATAAGGAGAAATGGGAATTGGGATGTTTTTAGTAGAGATTGGGTAGTGGATTATGAATTGGGTGGAGGAGATTGGATGTGAGGATAAGAGAAGTGTATGATTCTACAGCCCTTAGCCTTTGCTCTTTTGGCACTCTGTTTCTAACTAATTTGTGGCCAACAACGATCTTCTTGATATTTATTATTGATTCCAACCAAAACAGATATTTCATGTAACAATTAAACTTATAACTTATATGCACACACCACACTGCTGGGAGTGATTCACCCTTAATTACAAGTCTCGGGCTCTAACCTGAATATGAAGAAAATATAGTTTAAAAGCGCCACCCCCAAATGGGCCATACAATGCGCGAGTCGGATTTAATCGGAGCACCAATGTGGACTCCGGTCTAAAAAACCAAAAAAAAAAAAAAAAAAACTTATATGCGCACATTGTGATTTATGAGTTGTGACACTAAAAAGAAACTTATAATATCTAGGATAATATAACTTGTCACTTATTAATTATCTGCTATTACCAAATCAATATTACATGGTAAATAATTTTTGCATAACCAAAACAAGGAGGCAAACTATAAGATTTAACTATCATTTGATCATAGATTTTGAAAAATTATTTTTAAATATTTATTTGGCCACAAGATTTGATCAGATTTTAATATTTTGTAAGTTCTCAAAAATTGGTTCAAATTGGTTTTCCACTCACAAACTTTTTAACAAAATCAAATAAAATGCATATTCAAACACAACTTTAAATTTCAAAAATCATAATTTTAGAAACTTATTACTTTTTAAATTTCAAGTTTCACGCAAATATCAAATCTGTATATTTTTTCAAGAATATGAGCTAAGCATTTTGTAAGGCTTTGAAATTGATGTCCAGTTAGTAACAATTAACAACATGATTTTAAGATGAAAGAAGTTATGGTAAAATAAGTTTAAGATTAAATCAAACATTGAATTAGGTGAAACTCTTCGTATTAGTAGTATCCTTTTTACATTTTACATATTGAGCGCAAAGAAAAGAAATGTCTTTTATTTAAAACATAAAATGGAATTGCGACGTAAAATAATTTTAATAAGTTTGAGATTAAATCAAATAAGAATTATTTCATATTTAGTGTTAACACTTGACAACATTCTGAATTATATCACCAATTCAATGTGATATTTGTTGGGTCAGACTTGTCGAAAAAGTTTTGGGCAT